CAGGTAGTGAACAGAGTACCTGAGCAGGTAGTGAACAGAGTACCTGAACAGGTAGTGAACAGAGTACCTGAACAGGTAGTGAACAGAGTACCTGAACAGGTAGTGAACAGAGTACCTGAACAGGTAGTGAACAGACCCCTCCTGACTCACTGACAGTAAGTGAACTCCATGGTAAACTCCTTCAGTGTTGGTGCATTCACTGATGTGTTCGTGCTGTGAACAAGTGGCTCTCATACTCACTCTGAACCCAGAATCGTATTCATTTTCTCCGAGCTCCTACAGACGGAATGGATGGACAGACAGATGTGCACAGACAGACAGGGAGAGAGAGGTATCAGATCGGCAAACAAGGATGACAGGAAGCAGGGCCCAAAAATCAACAGGAAACAAATGGTCATTGTTGAATTCTGAGAGCGAAACAGTTTGAATGCTTAAAGGTGTTATTATAAAGATGGCCGACAGAAGAGAGAGAGAGAGACATGAAGGATGAAGAGGAGGAGAGAAGATGAAGAATAACAAGGTTCAGGAGCTGTATTCAAACCCAGGTACACCTGAGACAACAATACCTATTTTTTTTATTTTGGTATTTTCTCAAATTTGGTCCCTGCTGGCCACCGTACATCCAAGCTATCTGTTAAATCAATGGCAACCAAATAAACGGCTGTTAAAGTCCTGTGAACGTCCTCGGTGGTAGTTTCCTGCTACGCATGTTACCACGATGACTCACCAACAGACTCACAAGGTGGAAACAACCACCATCTCTGACATGCAGCTGGCAGTGAAAATGAGTTAGCAGCTAATTCAACTTCTAACGCTGGCAGCAATCTGTAAACTAGTGGATTCAAATGAAATGTAATTAGGTCAGCTGGAACACGGCCCTCTTCATATATAAAAAAAAAAGCATTTAAATCAAATGTATTGAAACGTGTAACTGTGTCATTTGATCAACTTCAGCTCTGTGGTGAAAACACAATCTACTCCAAACAGGTGGATTTTAGGATGGCCTTACTCTTCAAACTATCCTTTCAGCAAACTGTTTGATTTACAAGACAATAATAATCATCAGCTCATTTCTATTTAATGATACTTCAGAAGTTAAAGGCTACAGTCAAACATCCTTCAGATAAATGATGGTCTGATTACTGCCAATGTAAATCCTATTAATGCTGCATTAAATCCATGAATATATGAGAGACTTTAAGGCGTTTGTTGTTACATTTATTAAAACATTTTGAGGTGAAGTGATATTTGTCCTCTTTAAGAAGGTGGAGGAAGAAGTGATGCTACTTTCACTTAAAAGTGAACTTTTAACTGGTCCTGAACCAGTCTCAGTCTAGTCCTGATCCTCTATGAAGACCTCCATCAGTAAACGAGACCATCAGAGGGAAGAT